GGGGGTCCGGCAGGGGCAGGTTTTTCCTGCTGCTGTCGCTGCCGAACTCCAGAGCTGAGTTTGCAAACTGGAAAAAGAGAGAGAGTGTGTATGTGTGAGAAAGCAGTGGGCAGGCCACCTCCGGGGCTTCCTCTCTGGGGAGCAGGATGGGGGAGGAAGGGGAAACCGCCAGAGACCCAGAGACAAAGAGACAGGCAGAGACGACAGAGACCAGGGCAGAGGGGACGGATCCGAGCGCGCGCACAGAGCAGGAAGAGGCAGCCCAGACCCAAAGTTGGGCATTTCTCGCCTGGGATTCAAACTCACGGGACCGAGTCGTCCCAAGGGCAAGGGCTCCAGGGCCTGGGGGAACGGGGGTGAAGCAGCTCCTCGGCCTGGCCCGGCCACCGGGAGGCCTCTGCTGAGCCTCGAGGCCCGGCACCCCTGCTCCCCCATCCCTGGGGCAGGCCCTGCCCCTCCGGCCCAGCGCCCCGCCCAGCCCAGAGCCCTACCTCTCGGCTTCGGCCACCGAGCTGGGCCGGGGGTTCCGGCTGCCTAAGACGTCGGGCTGTCCTTTTCCTGGGGCCTCCCGGCCCCAGCAGCGCGGGGCGCGCAGGTGGCGACCAGAGGCTGTCCGGTCCTCTTCAGGGGCGGCACCTCGCCCCGCAAGGCATCTCCGTGAAAAGTTTGCCCTCCAGTAAAGAAGGAACCCCCGCCTCCTTGGTGGAGCCCAAGCGCGGCCTCTGAAGCCCCAAGGGTCTCCGGACCGATGCGGGAGGGGGCGGCCGCTCCTCCAGGTGGAGCCGCCTCGGTGGTCGGGGCGAGTGGGTCTCCCAAGTCTCCTCCCGCGTGGCCTTGCTGGGTCTCTCTCGGCTCCTCAGCTCCTCTCAGTTCTGTCTCTGTCTTTCTCTTTCTGGGCTGTTGACAACCCCCACACCAGGAAGTCCTGCCTCCTCGGGCCTGCTGACTGCTCCTCTCCTCCTCCTCCTTCCCCTCTTCCTCCGCCCCCTCTCCTCCTGGGGCTCCCGGCCAGCTGGCCCGGGGCCAGGCCTGCCACCGCCGCTGCTGGTGCAGTTGCTGCGGCTGCTGCGGCTCCTGGGGCCCCGACCGAGCTGCCTTAACCCCACACCTGCTGGGCCCTAGCCCAGCTTTTCCTCGGAGGGAGGGGCTGTGGAGGGCGGAGAGAAAGGGGAGGAGTTTGAGAGAGGCCAGGGATTCCCTTACTTGTAGGCGCTCGCTGCCATTGGCCTACAGACACCCAGGAGTGGGAAGGAACTTAGCCGGAGCTCTGCTGGGCGCCTGCCGCCCCGTAAGCGCCCGGTAAATGTTACGGTGCTGCTGCAGCTGTTAGTGTCATGTCTTCGCTGGTTCTCACAGTAACTGTACGAGGAAGGTTATTCTCCCCTGTCCTGATTTTAAAAAGTGGATTATTATGACAATTTTCAAACATGCCCCAAAGTAGAGTAGTGTCGACAGTTATCAACTCACAGCCAGTCTTGTTTCATCTGCCCCCCAATATCTTTTGTTGTTTTGTGCTGGAGTATTTGAATCACATCCCAGACATCATAGTATTCCCCTTCTTAGATGTGGAAATTGACACCCAGGAGGTTCAGAAAGGCTGTCAGTGGTGGTGCAGGGACATTTCATACAGTCAGAGGTGTTCTTGTCTGGCCCCCAAACAGAGAGACAATGAAGACACTCTCGAGAAGGTGCTGACTGGCACTTTCTTTCCAACCGCTGGTCACACATATGTATGTACACGCAGTCACCCAACACACATGTGGCTGAGGATAATGAACCCAGCTGGCCACCAGCATGGGCCCCTCCCTACCTCTCACCCTTCCTGCCTTTCCCATCCCGTCCCTCCCTCACTCTGGTGAGTCCACACACACTCATAAAGGGCCTACTATGTGCTTGGCATGAAAGAATAAACTGCCATTTTCTCTTTTTTGGCTCCCCCAACCAACATTCTAAAAGGAGTTATTTTAGCAAAAGCCATGTCTAATGGCCACATCTGCCCTCACTCCCAGGTTCAGAAGAAAATGGAGTGTAATTAATTTGGGTCAAATGGAACTGGTCTAGAGCATATTAAAAATTCCTCGTATTTGTCCACTTCACATGGTTATCTCATGGATTCTCAAAACAGCCCTGGGCAGAAATGGGGTGGGTTTTGAGCTAGTGTTTCCGCTAAGGAAACTGAGGATTACAGGCATTATTTGCTCAAGGCCTCAGAGCTAGTGTTGGATGGCGTTGAGACCAGTGCTGGGCTCTGACACATCCCTCCTTCCTCAGCTTTGGCTCATGGAAATTTTTTTTTTGTTTTTTTGCGTTTTTTTTTTTTTTTGCTAGGTAAGATTAGCCCTGAGCTAACATCTGTGCCAATCTTCCTCTACTTTATGTGTGGGTTGCTGCCACAGTGTGGCTGACAAGTGGTGTAGGTCGGCAACCGGGATCCGAACCTGTGGGGAATGTGCAGAACTTAACCACTACTGCAGGGAGCTGGACCCTCATGAAAATTTTTAATCACTCTTTAGGGTTAAGCAAAAACAAAATGATGCAAAACCCTTTGCCCCACGTTTATATATTTATTCTTTATCTCTGTTAAAATGCGTCTCTACTCCTGCCTCTCTCCCTTCATGGAGACAATGGCTACCATAGCCAAGTCCTGAGGCCTCCCAAGGCGTGAGGTCCAGGAAGCAGCTGAAGTAGCCTCCCACACAACTCCCCCTCCAACCCCCTCCTCTCTGGCAATATTCAGAACAGAGCTCTGTGCTCCGCCCCGGATCCTTCAGCGCAGACTTGCTACGAACTATTCAAAACTTATCTTGGGACCCTCCCCTTCCCACCAGCTCAGACGCTCAGCATCAACTTGGACTCCTCCGTGTCTGCAGTCGCTGGGACGTTGTTGGTCTCTGTGGACATGCTTGTTGAATGAATAAATAAAAATTCATTCACACTAAGGCGTAAATGTGAAAGGACTGGTATGTATTTTATTGTGTTACCTCGCCTGGAGGCATTTATAACAGCCCTTTAATGTGTGGGGCCCTTTACGATTTACAAAGCTCTTGGTAGTCATTATTTTGCTGCCTCCCAACTACTTTATTGAGGTAGGTATGAGATGAGGCATCTCTCAGAGGGGCTGTGCCATTTGCCCAAAGCTGCACAGCACATCAGCAAAGACTTTGCCATATAAAGTAACATTCACAGGTTCCAGGGATTAGGGCGTGGATATTTTATGGGGGTCCATTTTTCAGCCAGTTAAGGGTAGAACCAAAGTCTTGCAGCTATTGTGCGGCAAAGAGATTTCCAAGGGAGAATTTCTCAGGGAGCCGATGAGAAAGGTGATGTGAGGTGGGGGGCGAGGTCGCGACCCTCCGCGGCCGCCGCGACCGCAGCTGGGCCGTGGCCGCGGTGGTCCCAGTGAGAGGCCGACCCCGGGGCGCCCAGGTCTCGGCAGGCGCCGCCAGCGGAGTCAAAGGTTAGTGGGAGGGTGACTTGGGCGGCGGGGACGGACGGGTGGAAGACTTTGAGCCCAGGCGGTGAAACAAGGTCCGGGCGCCTGCGAGGCTGCAGGGATAAGCGACGGGTACCAAGCGAGCCAGCTCCCGTGCCCTCCCCGCACGTGGGGGGCGGCGGGAAGACGGGGCGCGGCCAAGGGAGCACGCCCCCTACTGGGTAGAGACGCAGATGGTCCGGCTTCCCACTCAGAGCCCCTCGGCCCGGAAAGCGGCCCCCCCTGCCGGCCTCGCCACCTCACTGCACTCGGGGCCCCGCAGCTGCAGCCTCGCCCCGGCCCGACGCGGGGTGCGCACCCGGGGAGCGCCTGGCGCACGGGGTACGCGCGTGGGTGCAGACCCCCGGCTGCCGCTGGGGAGCGCCGCTGCGCGCTGCGCCCCGCTTCGCTCCGCCGGGGCCTTGGACACTGAACCGAGCACGGCCCGGCCGGGCAGGGGGCGAGGGGAGGCGAGGAGCGGACGCCCCAAAGCGGGGGCGGAGTGGCGCCAGGTCCCCCGCGCCCCACGATCTTTCTCCGAGTCCCCCTGGGAGCTCCGCGGCACTCGTGCCCCCCCACCCCAGCCTGGCGGCGCAGCGCGACGCGGCCGCTCCAGCTCCGTCCTTGGAGGGTGTGGAAGGGTGGGTTTGGGGCCGGGGGCGGGTCTGGGGGCGGACCCGGAGGCGGGGCTGTCTCTGCGGCAGGGCCCAGCTCGGCTCCCCCCGGTCGCTCTCTGTCTCTCCTCCTCCCTCCTGCTCCGGGCGGAGCCCGGCATGGGGGGGCCGGCGCCCGGCAGGCCAGGTACGGTGATGTAAAAATTGGGGAGACTTGGTGCGGGGAGGTGGGATGGGGGGACAAGGGATAGGGAGGATTGGCGGGGCGCGAGACGGAGAAACCCCGGGTAGCAGGACAAGGGGAAGGGGAGGGGTGCCTGGGAACCTGGGGCCCTTGGATGGAAAGGGGGATGAAGCCGGCCAGGTTTGGAACACACAGGGAAGGGAGAGGACGGCAGTTTGAGGAGGGGCGCCTAGGAGGAGAGGTGAGGCTGAAGGCGCAAAGGAGAGTGTGTTGGGGGGAAGGGAAGCCGGAGCAGGTATGCAGGCCGCAGCTCAGAAGGTAGCTCTAGGGCGGGACTGGAGACCCCCGGGTGGGATTGAGGGGCGGAGACTGAAAGAAGGAAGCCGGGAGCCTCCCAGATCCTGGAGGAGGAAGAAGGTGATTTGGGCCATCAGCGAGGCAGGCGGACACCATCGCTGAGGGCCAGGGCGCAAGAATAGGGGTGGACCGAGGCCCGGGCCCAGGCGAAGGGACGGAAGCGGGGGACGGCAGGGAATGGAGATGGATGGATGGGTGGTGTTGTGGATGCCCAGTTCACAGTGCCCCCACCCTTTCTCCAGCATCCCCGCCCTGCCCTCATGACACCCCCTAGCTTCAGGGCCTAAGAGGGGGTGGGGAGTCCGTCTCCCCCTTCCCCAGTGGGGTGCAATGTACGCAAGTAGGCCCCGCATAACTCCTTGTGTGTAGGTATGTCCAGTTCAGAGTAGCCGATTCGTGTGTGTCTGGAGGTCTGTGTGTGCTGTGGGTGTGTCGGGGGTGTTTATGTCTGTGTGTCTGCCTGTTCCTAGGTTGTGTTTACCTATGCCGATCTATGTGTCTGCTCCTCTGTTTGTAGATATGGGTCTGTGGCCCGGTGGTGTGTGTGTGTGTGTGTGTTTGTGTGGCTGCAGGTTGCTGAACATTTGTGGGACCTGTCTCTGTGGTGGACCAGGATGTATTTACAGATGGGAATCTGTGTCGATCTGATCTTTCCAGAGTGTGTTTTTGTGGCTCTGAACATCTTTGTCAGGGTGTGTGACTCTGTGTACACATGTCTGGCTATCTCTGTCTGTCTGTCTATGGGTCCTAGAGGCTGTGTTGGGTTTTCTATGCCTCTGTCTGTTTTCCTCTCTCTGAGGACCCGAGTCATATCTCTGCTCCTCTTTCTCTCTCATTCGTTCCTGGCCCCCACCCACCCCATATCCTTCTTTTTTTCCTTCCCATCCCCCTCACCAAGTGGATCCGGGACCCAGGGAGGGCCGCCCCCCGGGCCTGGTGGCGCTGAGCAGGGCCCCCCAGCCCCCACCTCCTGCCCCACGACATGAACCTCCTCTACCGAAAAACCAAGCTGGAGTGGAGGCAGCACAAGGAGGAGGAGGCCAAGAGGAGGTAAGTCTGCGGTCCCAGATTGCCGCCTGGCCTGTCCCACCTCTGCTTCCCCCTGGCTGGGCCACATCCCTCTGCCCTCCCTGGGTCTGACAGCTTGGTCACCAGTCTCATCTGAAAGTCTGTGCTCAGCACAGAATTGCTGGAATTGTACACGCCCTGTCCCCGCCCTGCTCCTGGCTCCAGCCCCTGTCCTGGCCTCTTGGGGGGCTTCCAACTCAGGAGCACCCTCTTGGCTCTTCCCCATCCCCAGAGGCCCGAGTCCCTCCTTCCTGACTCACCTCTGGCCTGTGATCTTCTCCTCTCTGTCCACGTGGGGCTGGCTCCTGGCTCCCCTGTCACCTGACCTTGGAAGGGGCAGGCCCAGCTGCCCTCACAGTCCAGGGATGGGGTCATTTGAGGGGCACCAGAGGAGATCCATTTGACCCCCTCCCAGCCTCCTCTGCTGGGGGAGGTGAGTGGCCCAGTGACAGGGTTATGTGTGTGTGGTGAGGACATGCAGGCTGGGCCCTGCGGAAGAGCCAGGGCCGGGGACCCCTCCCCGCTTGCCCTCTCTCCTTGCCCTCCCAGGGACCCAGGGCCTGGCCTCTCCCGTCTTGCTCCCTTCTTTTCTTCACTTCCATTGACTGCACAGCCTCTTGGAGCCTGAGTCAGAGCCACCTCCCTGCTCCCTTCTCCCTCCTCGAAACTGTGGAGTTTAATTCTTGTTGTTAATTAGATTAATCAGAGCTATCACTGCACTGATTTCTCCCTAATGAAGGGTTCGTAGACAAGCCCTTAATGAGAGCCCACCCCACAGCAGCTCTCCCCTCTTCCCTGCCAGCCACTCCCCCTTCACTCACACAGAAGCTCAGGGACAGTGAAAGGGAATGGGGGTGAGCCAGGGAGGGTGACAGAGAGAGGACAGCACTGAGGGAGAGGGAGAGAGAGATAGAAAGAGAGAGGAAGGGAGGAAAAAGGAGCAGCCAGGGGAGGCTGCTCTGATGATGTGGCGGCGGGACAGCCCGTGTCTGGGAGAGGAGGCGCGGTGTGGTGTGGGAGCGCAGGCCGCAGTAGCCGGACAGGAGGGGAGGCTAGAGGCCAGGTGTGGGCCAGCGTGAGCGTGAGATGGAGCAGAGTGGTGGTGGCAGGTGTATAGGCCAGGTGGGGCTGTGCTGCCTGGTTTGCATCTCTCTCCCATGTATGAAGCCGTCCACACATGTGCTGTGTGCCGGCTATGCCCAGGCTGTGACTGGCCAGCTCCAAGGATGCTCTCCTGCACACATATGCACCCCTTCTTTCCTCCCTGCCCCCCAATTTCCTTGCCTTTTTTTTTTTTTTTTTTGTGAGGAGATCAGCCCTGTGCTAACATCCGCCAATCCTCCTCTTTTTTTGCTGAGGAAGACGGCCCTGGGCTAACATCTGTGCCCATCTTCCTCCACTTTATATGGGACGCCGCCACAGCATGGCTTGCCAAGCAGTGCGTCGGTGCGCGCCCGGGATCCAAACCAGCGAACCCCGGGCCGCCGCAGCGGAGCGCGCGCACTTAACCACTTGCGCCACCGGGCCGGCCCCTCCTTGCCTTTTTTAAAGCCTAGGGATTCTGCCTGAAGCTTCTGCTTCAGTGCCCTGGACCTTCATCCCCACCCTGGGCTCCCTTCCTCTTCCCTGGGAGGCCACAGGGTTGCAAGTCCCTCTTGGGGTGGAGGAGGGGGAGGCCCAGGCCTGAGGCCCGACCTCTGCCCCATCTTGGCCTTCTCTCCCCAGCTCCAGTAAGGAGGTGGCTCCCACAGGCCCGGCAGGGCCCGGGGCTGGCCCAGGGCCTGGTGTCCGCGTGCGGGACATCGCCTCGCTTCGCCGCTCCCTCAGGATGGGCTTCATGACAATGCCCGCCTCCCAGGAGCACACTCCCCACCCCTGCCGCAGCGCCATGGCCCCACGCTCCCTCTCCTGCCACTCGGTGGGCAGCATGGACAGTGTGGGGGGCGGGCCTGGGGGAGGCAGTGGGGGTCTCACAGAGGACAGCAGCACCCGAAGACCCCCAGCCAAGCCCCGGAGACACCCCAGCACCAAGCTCAGCATGGCAGGGTCGGGGGCAGAGATGCCCCCCGGCAAAAAAGCAGGTGAGACACCCTCACTCCTCTCCAAGGGGAGCTTCAAGGATCCATTCCAGGCCAGGGGAGGCCTGCCGGGAGGGTTCATTCAGGGAAGAACCAAGGAAGTGGAAGGTTCCACTCTCAGAGGGAGTGGGGGAGTTGCTTTTTGGAAGGGCCTGAGATGAACCATTCAAGGGCAGCTCCCTGAACAATCCATTCTTGGGCAAGGGGTGGCCTTGGAGCAGCATGAGGGTGGGAGAGAATTTAGGGTGGGAGCTGCAGATTCTGGGGAGTTCACTGGAAGGACTGAGGGCTGACTGGTAGGAGAGGAACCTACTGGGGCTGTAAGTTGAGGATGTGGAGAAAGTGAAGAGGCAGATATGTCCTTGCAGACCGGTCAAGAGGTCAGAAAGGGTCTCCCCATTCCCTTCCCTCACTAAGATCCCAGTTTATTTTTCTCTTTCCCGTCCTGCTCAGGCTCACAGAAGCCAACCCCAGAGGGCCGAGAGTCCAGCCGGAAGGTTCCTCCACAGAAGCCCAGGCGAAGCCCCAATACCCAGCTCTCTGTCTCCTTCGATGAGTCCTGCCCCGCAGCCCCCTCTCCTCGAGGGGGGAACCTGCCCCTTCAGCGCCTCAGCAGGGGCTCCTGCGTAGCTGAGGACCCTGAGGTGGGTGCCCAGGAAGAAGAGCCCGTGTACATTGAGATGGTGGGGGATGTCTTCAGGGGAGGAGGGCGAAGTGGAGGAGGCCTGAGTGGGCCCCCTCTTGGAGGTGGGGGCCTGACCCCTCCAGCTGGCGCCGACTCGGACTCAGAAGAGAGTGAGGCCATCTATGAGGAGATGAAGTACCCGCTGCCAGAGGAGGCAGGGGAAGGCCGGGCCAATGGGGCCCCTCTGTTGACAGCGACCTCCTCACCACACCAGCCTCAAGCCCTTCAGCCCCACACCCACCGCCGTCCAGCTTCAGCCCTCCCGAGCTGGAGGGATGGGACGCCCTCCAAGACCACTCCTTGTGAAATCCCCCCGCCCTTCCCCAACCTTCTCCAGCACCGTCCTCCGCTCCTGGCCTTCCCCCAAGCCAAGTCTGCTTCCCGAACCCCTGGCGATGGGGTCTCGAGGCTACCGGTCCTCTGCCACTCCAAGGAGCCAGCCGGCTCCACCCCAGCTCCCCAAGTGCCTGCCCGGGAGCGGGAGACGCCTCCGCCGCTGCCTCCACCTCCTGCTGCCAACCTGCTGCTGCTGGGACCCTCTGGCCGGGCCCGGAGCCACTCGACGCCATTGCCACCCCTGGGCTCTGGCCAGCCCCGAGGGGAGCGAGAGCTCCCCAACTCCCACAGCATGATCTGCCCCAGGGCGGCAGGGGTGCCAGTAGCCCCTCCTGCCCCGGCCGCCTTGCTCCCCGGCCCCCCCAAGGACAAGGCTGTGTCTTACACGATGGTGTACTCAGCAGTCAAGGTAACCACGCACTCCATCCTGCCAGCTGGTCCGCCCCTGGGTGCTGGGGAGCCAAAGACGGAGAAGGAGATCGCAGTCCTCCATGGGATGCTGTGCACCAGCTCGAGGTCCCCTGTGCCCGGGAAGTCCAGCCCCCACAGCGGGGCCATGGGTGCAGCGGCTGGGGTTCTCCACCACCGCAGCTGCCTGGCTTCCCCGCACAGCCTTCCAGACCCAACTGCAGGCCCCCTGACCCCCCTCTGGACCTACCCAGCTGCAGCAGCTGGGCTCAAGAGACCCCCTGCCTATGAGAGCCTCAAGGCTGGGGGGGTGCTGAATAAGGGCTGTGGAATGGGGGCCCCATCCCCCATGGTCAAGATCCAGCTGCAGGAGCAAGGGACCGATGGGGGTGCCTTTGCCAGCATCTCCTGTGCCCACGTCATCGCCAGTGCAGGGTCACCAGAGGAGGAAGAAGAGATGGGCGCCACGACATTTGGGGCAGGCTGGGCTCTTCAGAGGAAGGTCCTATATGGAGGGAGGAAGGCACAAGAGCTGGACAGTGAGTGAGGGGTGGGAAGGGGGGTGGGGGAGCTGGGGATGTCCATGATCATTTGGGGGAGGTGTTGCAGGGGTGATTTGGAAGCCACGGCCCATTGTCCCAAGCTGAGAAATTTTGGGGGAGACCAAAGGGATGGGGGCGTATAGCAGACTGAAGAGATGGGGTCTTATGTGTGTGCTGGAGGGGCAGGAAGATCTGCGATGGGGAGGGGGTAGAATCTGGCCCCAAGAGCAGCCTCCTCCTGCCCCATCCCGCTCTACTCCCTGCCCCTCTCCTCCCTGGGCTGCAGGGGTGTGTGTTTGTGAGTGTGCGCACACTAGGAGCTAAACACAGCTGCCTCCCAGCTGTTACCATGGCAACCCACCCAGACAGGAGGGAGAGGAGAGGGAGGCCCCTACCGTTGCCTGGCAACGCAATGCTCTGCCAGGCCTACTCTCAAAGATGAGCTTAGTTCACATGCAGCCCTTCCCCCAATGCCCCCCCCCAACTTCTTGGCCCAGGATTTCGGTTTCTCCCCCTCCTGGAGAATGGTGCCCGTGGTCTCTTTCAGAAGGTGGTCATCCTGGCCCTGTCTGGGGCTAGAGGGCTCTAAAGCTAAAGCTGGGGTAGGGGAGACCCCTCTAACCAGGGAAGAGCGTTTGGAATCAGCAAATATCTATGATTCTCAGCCAGGGATGGTACCAATGGGCGCAAAGGAAGGTGAAAGTACTGGGGTCCCTCCTGTGTGTGTATGTGTTGGGGGAGCATGAAGTAGGGTCCCTCCCTTCCCAGCTGTGACCTGCAAAGGGGCAGTTACTTCTCCTGGTCCACCCTTGCCATGGTGTGTGTAGCTGGGGTGACAGCAAGACCTTTCCCACATACAGACACTGAGCTCTCCTTGTCACCCCAGCAGAAGTCGAGGATGGTGCCCGGGCCTGGAATGGCAGTGCTGAGGGTCCAGGCAAGGTGGAGCGTGAGGACAGGGGCCCCATGTCATCAGGGATTCCAGTGAGGAGCCAGGGGGCAGAGGGCCTGCTGGCCAGGATCCACCACGGAGGGGACCGAGGAGGGAGCCGCACAGCGCTGCCCATACCCTGCCAGACCTTCCCCGCCTGCCACCGCAATGGAGGTGATACACTCTGCCCCCGTACACCATAGCAGAAGGGGTGGGCAGGGGGGAATCTCCCAGGGCCTGTGTCCTGGGCCCTACATCCTCATACCACATCTCCATCCTCTTTCCTCCTCGGAGGAGGCAGAAGGCAGCAGGCAGCCTGAAAGGGGCTGTCTTCAGGGAACTGGGGGAGGGAAACCTGGAGACCCCTTCCCTCCTCAGTCCTTCTGTGCCTCAGACTTCACAGGAGGCTACCGCCTGGGGCGCTCAGCCTCCACGTCTGGAGTCCGGCAGGCCGTGCTCCACACCCCCCGGCCCTGCAGCCAGCCCAGGGATGCCCCAAGCCAGGTGAGGAGGAAGACGAGGTTGGGTTATCTTTTATTTGTGAAGGAGCAGGTAGGGAGGAAGGACTGGGTGTGGAAAAAAAAGGCAAGAGGTCAGGCTAGGGCCTGGCACAGAGTAATAGGGCCCGGCAGAGAGTGAGGGGGTGGGGGCCGGATCCTGGGAAGGGGATGCTTAGGTTGGGCAGCCAGGCAGGACCCTGTGGGAGATCACTCAGGACCTCCACTGGCGGACAGTGTCCCTTTGTGCGTTTAGAAAAAGGCGTCCCCTCTGGGGGGACCATCTGGAAAAATGCATCCCACTGGGAAGACAACTTGTAAAAGGCGCCCTTTCCTCAGGGTGAGATGGCCTGGCTCCGGGGCGCACAGCCGGGCAAAGAGTGCAAGGGCTTGATTTCTGCTCCCGTCTCCAGCCAGGAGAGGACAGAGGCCTTGGCGGGGGGGGGAGACAGGACTTGTTTCTGGGGGAAGGCATTGGTCTCTGCAGTGGGACCGGGCCCGGGCCCTCTGAGATCCTTGACCCCTCCCCCATTCCTTCCTCCCCCGTGCGGGTCGCGGCGGGAGGAGGGGACGCAGACCCACCCCGCGCTGCCGCTGCCGCTGCCGCCGCCGCCGCCGCCGCCGCCGCCACCACCGCCACCGCCCCAGCCCGCCCGTGAGCGCGACGGGAAGCTGCTGGAGGTGATCGAGCGCAAGCGCTGCGTGTGCAAGGAGATCAAGGCGCGTCACCGCCCCGACCGCGGCCTCTGCAAGCAGGAGAGCATGCCCATCCTCCCCAGCTGGCGGCGGGGGCCCGAGCCCCGCAAGTCCGGCACCCCGCCCTGCCGCCGGCAGCACACCGTCCTCTGGGACACTGCAATCTGAGGAGGGCGGGGGCCGGGCCCCGGGACTGGGGAGTGGGGTTGGGGTGCGCCCGGCTCTCCGGGAGACTTGCCTCGAAAGCGGGACACTTGAAGGACCAGGTGAGAGCGAGCCAGGGAGAACCCCTGCCCTCCACCCAAACCTCGGAGACGGGGAGTCCGCCAGGCCCATCGGGCTTGGGGCGCCAGCAGTACCCCCAGAAGTGTGGGAGAGGAGGAGGGTTTGCTTGAGGTTGGGAGTGAGGCCCTCCCCTGCTCTCTCCACTGTGCACTGCTCCCTGCACTGAGCCAGGTAGACCCCTCCTCCTGAGAGGGCAAAGGCCAAGCCAGAGGTCAGCACGGGGGAGGAGGGAAGGGTTAATGAGGAAGAAGGGGGCGGGTCAACTGAAGAACAGGGACGGGGGATGGCTCATTTATAGAGTCGGGGATGGGGGAGGGGTTATTTATTTTGTTATTTATTTTAGTCCGGAGGGCAATTCTGGCCCCTTCTGACCTACTCCTGAGCGGGGAGTGGGGAATGGCGGGCAATGAAAGGGAACCAGGTTTGCACTCTCCCCAATGCCTAGAGGCCCCACCGTCTGTGCCCACCACAAAGCTAGGGATTGGTCTGGAGTGGGGCGTGGAGCGGGAGAAGGGAGGGGCTCCGAGAGCTGAGGGCCGCAGACTCATTTACTTACAAATCGCCGGAGTTTGGTAGTGAGCGTGGCCTGCTCTGAAACAGGTATCTTCTTTAGCTCTGGGGTGAGGGTCTAGCACCAGGGATGGGCGGGATGATGGGAAGGAGGGAAATTTTAGCGGGGGGGGGCGGGGAGGGGCGGGCAGGGTATTTATTTAAATTAAAAACAAAATCAGAAGAGATGTCAGGAACTTTTTTTTAATTCCTTTCTTTTCAGAATAATATATTAAAAGACTAATGATCCTAGAACTGGCTTCTTATTTTTCAGTGTGCTCTGCCTTTCTTACCCGTTTCTTGTTGGTGGGAGTTGGAGATGGTGCAGGGAGGGTTGAGTGGCTGTGGAAGTAACGGGGAGAGGTGGAGTTTGAGGTAAGTCTCTGGGAGTGCCACTGGGCAGTGACTCAGCAAGCATTTATTGGGCATCTGAGGTGTGCTTGGCAATGCACTGATGCAGAAGGAATATTCAGACTGAAGCCTGCCCTCAAGCAGCTTATAGTGTCTACTCAAGAAGATGAGAGAGCTGAGCCGGCACTAGGCAGTGCTGCAGGAGTGAGAGAGGGAGAGGGCTGGCATCATCCGCCAAGGCTTCCTGGAAAGTGAGCCTAAAAGGACAGGTAAGGTTTGGATGAACTGGGGGAGGAGGGAAAGTCCCAAGGTCGTGGTACGATTGTCTGTAGAACAGTAGAAGATGGGGGTGAGGCCAGGAAGTGTGTTTAAATAGTGCAGAGGACAATAAGGAGTCAGGCATGATGAAGCTGGTTCAGAGAGATGGGCCTCAAAGCAAGATGCTGGACTGGAGGAATCCTGCTGGGAGGTGAGGTATCACCAGGGAGGAGGATAAAAAGAATGGCTGGGAGAATGGAGGGCAAGATGCAGCTGAAAGAAAACATCCTCAGGATGGGGATGAAGGAGCCAAATGGGGCATCCTGGAAGCTCAAGTTTGAAACTCATGTCATTGGGGAAATGATCATCTTGACAGAGCGTGGAAAGTGGGGTTGAGAGGAACTTTGAGGGAAGAATGTTCAACTTGAAGCAGTGGTGAATATTCAGGTTGAAAGGTTTGTTACCAGCTAGAACAGAGTTTCAAAAAATGTGGTGGATCATACAAGAGATGTTGTTAATCGGTATGAAGATGGACATTTTTCAAAACTTTAATAGTTTTGTATTTATTTTCATTCATGTTAGAGAAATTATAACCAGCATATCAGACTATTTCATGGATATTATTGTACAAGAGAAGGCTAAATTTATTTTCAATTTGTTGGTTTAAAGAAAAATATTAAGCAAACAAATAATGGTACAGGTGGGATACAGAATATGAAAAATTATGACAGTGCTATGAGAATTTTTGAAATTTAGGAAACACCAAGTTAGAGCTAAAATGATGATAGTTTGGGAGAGATGACAAGACTGTGGACATTAGGAGTCATCAACATAGAAATGGTACTCAACGCCAAGACTAAGTTTTATAAGGGAGAGTATAGATAAAGATATGAGTTAAGAACAAAATAGCAATAGCTTTTTAAATTTTTATTTATGTTTTAAATTGAGATATAATTGACATAACATTGTATTAGTTTTAGGTATACAGCATAATGATTTGATATATGTATATACTGTGAAATGATCACCACAATAAGTTTAGTTAACATCCATCACCACACATAGTTAGAATTTTTTTTTCTTGTGATGAGAACTTTTAAGATCTACTCTCTTAACAACTTTCAACAGTATTATTAACTATAGTATTGTTAACTATGGTCCCCATGTTGTACATTACATCTCCAGGACTTATTTATTTTATAACTGGATGTGTGTACCTTTTGACCCCCTTCACCCATTTTGCCCAGCCCCCACCCCTGGCAACCACCAATCTGTTCTCTGTATCTATGAGTTTGGGTTTTTTTTTTTCTTAGGTTCCACATATAAGTGAGATCATACAGTATTTGTCTTTCTCTGTCTGACTTATTTAACTTAACATCATGCCCTCAAGGTCGATCCATGTGGTCGCAAATAGTGGGATTCCCAATAGCTTTTTAATAATTAGTTAGAAAATTGATGGAAGGAAATATCCCATTCATAAGAGCAAAAAAACCCATAAAATATCTAGGAGTAACTTTAACAAGAAATGTACAGGACCTATATCGATCAATCAATAAAACTGAAGTCCTTTGAGTTCCTTAACCAAGGAAGACTTGCATAAGCAGAGTAATAACTTGTTCTTAGATAGGAAGACCATAATAGAAAAGATGTCAGGTTCCCCCTCCTTGGGATGGAGGAGGTTTTTCTAAAATGACATGAAAACCAGAAACAAACCAAAAGACTTCTAAGTTTGACCCCATTCACAACTAAAACTTCTATATGGCAAAGTCAGACTGCAAACATTAAACTGGGAGAATATTTCTAACATGTGAAAAAGATTGATACAGGGCCAGCCCCGTGGCTTAGTGGTTAAGTGCGCATGCTCCGCTACTGGCGGCCCAGGTTCAGATCCGGGTGTGTACCGACGTACCACTTCTCCAGCCATGCTGAGGCCGCGTCCCACATACAGCAACTAGAAGGATGTGCAACTATGACATACAACCATCTACTGGGGCTTTGGGGGGAAAGAAAAAGGAGCAGGATTGGCAATAGATGTTAGCTCAGAGCCGGTCTTCCTCAGCAAAAAGAGGAGGACTGGCATGCATGTTAGCTCAGGGCTGATCTTCCTCACAAAAATAATAATAATAATAGATAAATAAATAAAAAGAAGATTAATAAAAAGATTGATAAAATACATGAGAAAGATTTCCGAGTTGATAAGAGAAAGAAAAAACAACCCAAACAAATGTGAACAAAGGACATGAACAGACAATTCACCAAAGAAACAGAAATTACCAATCAACATGTTCAACCTTAACAATAAGCAGTGCATAATAAATCAATCATAAAATATTTTTCACCTATCAGACAAAACTGCAAAAAATTCATAACATCAATCTGGGAAGTATGTGCAGAAGACAGGCACTCAGTATGTAAATGTAAATTTTTTCTGTTTTTCTGTTTTTCTCCAGTTTTTCTGGAGGTCAGTTTAATAATACTTATTAAAATTTTAAATGTGCATAGTTTTGACTCAGAAATTCCATTTCCAGGAATTTATCCTACGGAAGCAGTTACACAAGTGTGCAAAGCTAAATGCACAAGGGTACTTATTGAAGCATTGTTTGAAATAATGAAAAATTGGAAACCACCCTAAAGTTCATCAGTATGACACTGACTAAATAATTTATAATAATGGAAAACTGATGCTGTTAAATAGAATACAGAAGATATAGCTGTTCTAAACACAAGAAGCAGTTCACGATTAATAAGTGAACAGAGCAATGTGCAGGAAAGTATAGAAAAAAACGCGTTTTTAGAAAAATTATTCATAAATTTTTATGTAAGTCTGGAAGGAAATACACAGAATAGTTGATGGTGATTATTTTGAGGTTTGAGAAGAGAGGGGACTTAATTTGCTTTTAGAAAAAATGTATATTGCTTGAATTTTCGTGTCTATGTCTTCATTCTGAAATTAGAAAAATAAAATATATATTTATTGTTTTTTTAAAAGAAAAATAAATAGTTAAGTGTTCAAGGAGGATGAAGCAGGAAACATGAGTTGTACTCAGTGACAAGAAGCAGAGGCAGGCACAAAATGTCAGGCACTGTGGAGCCGGCTTGTGTGGGTTCAAATCCAGATGGGCCCTTAGAGCCAAGTTTCTCCCTTTCATTATCTATAAGATGGGGATAATTAGAGGATTGTTGGGGAGACTGAATAAGATGTGCACTGCCTCCTTTGAGGCTGAAGAGAGGGGTAGGATGAGAGACTAGAACCTGAGCAGAGCTGGAGTGAGAGGCAGGAGTGGACGTAGTCAGGGTACAAGGGGCTCAGTCAAAGGCAGGTGCTTGGGGCTGCCATGAGCCAGGGCTCCGCAGCCCTTCTGCTAGATGGATGAGATCAGAGGCCCACAAAGAGTGGCCAGTTTAAAGAATTTAGGCTGTGCTGGAACTATCAACCTCACCTGGGGGAGGAGGGATGAGCACCCTCTGGGAAGTCAGCCTGGACCCAGCCCTGCCTGCCTGCCACCCGGTAAAACTTTCCTGGCACCACATATCCCCTCCTGGGGTCACTAAGGCACTTCCAGTGCTGACTCCACCTTTTCAAAATCCCAGCAAAGCAGGGAACTCTGAGGCAGCACAGCCAGAGGTGAGAGCCCTGGAGCCTCCAAGTCAATAGAGCTATAGGAGCTGGGTGGGGGAGACCTTCACTGGGGAGGGAATGCATTCAAATCAAAGGGGAGTGAAAAAGACCTCAGAAACAATATTCTGCCGTATTTTTCATGGCCCATTTTGCCCATTGAGATTGTATTTCAACTGTGAAGAGAGATGTCTATCCAAGATTACTAGGGTCATGTCAAAAAGACTCAGGAGCAAACTTGAAGAGGCTCCCAACGGCAAAGGATGGGATAATTTGAGCATCAAGAAGGATAAGAAATGCAACAAGTTGAAAGACAAATATGCTTAAATTCATGAGTTCATAATAACAGAGAAAATTTCTCACCTTCAGAGGATACCAGAGAATCAATACATTATTTTGAAAACTGGTAAGTAAACAAGAAGACTCCAGCATCCATCTGCCTTTATTAAATCATCGATGAAAGGAAGTTTGTCTTTATAGAAATATTCTGGCTAATAAATGAAGACAGAATTTTAGAAGTGGCATATCACCATGAAGTAAAAGATCTAGGTATTGAATTTCAACAGCAGCTAACACCATGCATCACATTATAAGAGACAACCAGGCAGGATGCACCTCCTGATGGAAGAATGCACCACCACCTCTGAAGTATTCTTGGAACGTAGGATTATGATCAAGGCTCGAGATGCCACTACCAATTACAGGAAATACAGAGGAGAGGGGAACGCAGCGAACACCAGGGGATGAAATCAGCCAAATTGGGACTGTGGGAAACGTCTCAGGGCAAACAACCTGGATTCTTCAACAAATGTATTGCCCAGGAAAATAAAGAGATGGAGAAGGAATCTGCAGATTATAAGAGACTAAAAAGACATATTGCCCATTGCAATCTATAGACCACATTTGGATCCTGA